AATTCATTCATGTGGAATGTGTGTTTTTCTAGCATAAGCCTTTATGTTATTTAAGGGACCTAGTATGTGATCTAGGTTGAGTTATGCTAATGATATATGGAAATTAGTTAATGCTGAACATACTTGGCAATTGTGGGGGTATTGAGATCTCCACTGCTTTACATTTTCTAATTGCAGGAACCAAGTGTTTGATGGCAAATGGGAGACACATTCAATTCCATGAGTTGCAAGCCATGGAGGCGGTTCTTGTGAAGTGATACTCCTTTTGGAGTATGTGAAGCTAGAGAAGAACCATACAGGTCCTTAAATATGGAATAAAATATGACTTGGTGCGATTTTGTCGAGGGGAATGAGCTAAAAACCCACATGGTATGTCATTCCTATGGCGATTATTTGTGAGGATGAGCTTATGCTCTTAATGTGTCTATAGCCTAAATTGGGTGGTCATGTTGTGAATTAAGGACTTGATAGATGCACCGCAAATTTCTTTTTGAGATGAATGTAATTGTTCATGATGAATCTATAGCCCCAATTGCGTGGTTCTATGAGAGAATTTGATAGATTTACCATCACTGTGAAGTTGAGCTTCATGTCAAAATGCATCTAGCCTTATAGTCATCCGAGAAGGGGTGGTACTATAAGAAGCCTAGATGGATACACCTATGTGCTTTGTGAGATTGAACATCAATGTTCTTGATGTATACATAGCCTCGTTAGGTGGTCCAAGTAATCGAACTTGATGGATACACTAATGGATAGGTTGGACGTTGTCCTTAATGTTTCATATCCTTTTGGGTGGTCTATGGGGTATATAGACTTGATGAGGCACCTATGTGAGTGAGCAGGGTTGGCATCCTCCTATGGAACCTATGTGTAGGTTCCTAACAACACTCACTAGAAATCTAAGGGAAAGTTAGCCTCGTATGACGTTTCATACGGACGCAGAATTATTTCAAGCTTCTAAATGTAAGGTGTGTGGTGTTGGGTTCTTTCAATTGTCTTGAAGTTCAATTTATACTTTAGAGATTATTGAACACCTCACTCCACTAATGTGCTAGTTCAATCCTTACGGGTTATATCACTTATGCGCTAAACCTTTCATTTACCGCTCTGATCTCTTGTCCGATTGTATTAGTGGGGGATTGTTGGGAGTAATACAAATTGAACGAATCGATCGTTTTGATGAACTATGTTTGGCGCAGATTTCTAACCCCTCTCGCCCTATAGGGCGGTGTCGCCCTAGGAGGTAGGGCGGTGAAGAGTAAGGTCATAGTCAAAGTAATATACTCCATATTATTTCTTACCCCACATGTCCGGTCCGGTGGGCTTGAGTCGGGCCAAAGTATGGGTAGTGATTTTTCAGCGGTTTTGACCCCATGTTCATAACCTATAAATATCCATTGTGCTTATTCATTATATTATATACGATATATCACAAAGTATTGTGAAACCCTAAACACAAAGACATCCTTATAGAGATCTGAGCAGTTCTTGAAGTAATTCCAACCTTACAATCGGGGTACGGAGTTGGAAGGTAGCTGTGTTACCCTTGGGGAGCATTCGTCACTGAGAGCCTCGTACCGATGATGGCGAAATACGCTTCTAGGGCAGCCATAAAACACGTCACAGCTTATATGAGATCTACAATTGAGTATTGTACTTTTGCCCTAATTTCTCTATTATTTTCATGGTAACAACATCATATTCCCAACACTTGTCCGGGAGGATTCCATTCAGCACTCAATTGCAAGGCTTTGATCCTTCATCGTACATGGGAAATCCATTACTTTGTGGAAAACCACTTCAAAAATGTGCAGGTGATGAACCGCCCACCATAAATGGAAGAAATATCAGCCATCAAGAGGAGCATGGACATGATAATTTTTATCTAGGCCTGTGCATCAACGTGGTGCTCGGATTTATTGTTGGATTTTGGGGAGTTTGCGGGTCTTTAGTGGTGAAAAGATCATGGAGACATGCCCTTTTCCGCTTCTTTGATGACATCAAAGACAAGATTTATGTCATTGTGGCTGTGAAATTAGTCAGGCTTTCGAGGAAACCTTGAAGGTACTTATTTCATATATCTTGTATTTGTTACAGTATGAATTATTAATTCAGCTAAGCAATTAAAAAAATAGACATTATATGTATGTGTCTTATTTATTTGTGCAGGTTTCTCTTAAGAGATGGAGTGCATTGTACTTCAAATAGCATTTATATCACACATATATCTAATAGGTAATGTTAAGTATTATAACTCGTTCCTTGACTAATTATATTTGATATACTTAGTTGTAATATTAGTGTTTCGCATTCTGGAAGTTTTTCTTCTCCTTTTGTTTATACTTGGTATTTATGCAGTATTGATGAATTAGTCAGAGCTTTGGATCAGAAGCTTGAGTGAGAAGGATTGCTGTCTACTGTTACACATTTACACTATGTAGATTATTATATCTTGAAAAGAATATTGCCTATTTAATCGTTATAATTTAATGCCTATTTTACCATTTTTTTTTTACTAAAATTACTAATTGCGCCGCAACATTTCACTCAAATATTGTGTGTATGAGCTCAGGTTTCTTTGGTGTGCCTATTGTGCGTAAAAGGTGTAAATTTGGGTGTTCGGGTAAAATTCAGATTTATTTTTAAATTTAATTTATGTTAAATTATTGTGTTTAAACAAGTTAATATCCGAATTTGATAATTTTCGGATCGGTTTTGGGTAGGATTTTGACACCCCTAATTGTGTGTATGATCTTGTAATAATAGTATGCATTATTGGGGAAAATGAGTACTTCATCCATTATAAATTAGATGACACTCATGACACATTTCTTTTATCATGTATTTCAATGCAATAATTAATTTGTAAATATTTTTAATTATCAACAAGTATAAATTACTTCATAAAAAGTTAACATGAATATAACAAGATCCCACATCTAATGTGAATTTCTTATTTATAAATCACAAAAAGTTAGTTAGAGTAGAGTTTGTGAATAGTGTTAAAAGTCAAAATAGTATATTTTTTAATTAATTTGAAATGAATGAAGTATATTATTAGTAAATAATCAAGTAACTACTATGTTTATTGCTTTTTTTTTCAACTTCTATGTCCATAGGACAATCTACGTACGGAGTTCATCATCAAAAAAAGAATTATGAACATGACTATTTTTCCCTTTTCTCAACTAATTGCATCTCTAGCTTATTGTTATACACGACATAATATTCAAAAGTTGGATAAAATCCCTAACATAAAAATACACTTCCTTCGTTTGACTTTGATCATTAATATCTTTAGTTTTGTATTATTAAAATTATAAAAATTTGACACAAGATAAAAATTGCAATACATCTAACAATATTTTACATGATAATTTATTATCTTATATTTATTATCTTATATAGTAATTACAAAATAAGGTTAAAATTTTATAAATTTGACCACATGCGCGTTATTACAATGGAGGAAATAGCGAGTACTTTTTATAAAAGGTTTATAATCTTTGTTATATCTTATTTTTACGACACTTATTTATTTCTTAATGATTATCTATTTGCCACCTCCCAAAAAATCTGTTACTTGTATAATATATATATTGTTGTCATATTTAATTTGATAACCTAATTAATTTTAACTAATTCCTTTTTCACCGAGAAACATTCATTTCCTTAAAAAAAAAAAAAAAAGTGAGTTAGCATGGAAGAAAGTAGCGTAGATGATGTTGCCGCAATGTGGGAGAAGGTTTCTAGGGAGTTTGATGATTTAGAAAAAACTTTGAAAGTTGTGAATAGTGTTTCAATGGAGCAACAACAAGCACAAGGAGCCGTTCATTTGGATGAGAAAATGATAGATACCATTCTTGATGAGTTTTCACAACCATCGTCGTTGCCGATATCATCACCACCAACACAACGTCGTCATGGAAAAGGCAAAGATTTGAAATATCTCCATCAATATCTCAAGAATAATTCGGTGAAGAAAGGGGTGGATAACATTCTTGAAGAGTTACCAATATTGAAGCCGACAACACAACGTTGTCAAGGGAAAGCCAAGGAGTTGAAAGTTGTCCAACAAAAGTTCAAGTCATCACCACCAAAACTCTCCATGGATGACTCGTTATATCGCAAGAAGTTGGAAAGTACGAAGCGAAAGTTGCAAAAAGGGTACGAGAATTTCCAAGATGCAAGAAAGAAGATATGTGTGATAAGTTTGAGTGATCTCCCTCCACAACCATTAACTACCGGTAGTCGAAGAAAGCAAAATAAGTCTAAACAAACAAGCTTAAAAGATCGTAAAGAGTTTCGAGGGTTCAAGAATAGTATGCCTCGTCACATATTTGGTTGTTAATGGTACGTCAAGATGCATGGAAAACAAGATTATGGTGCCGGCTACAAACTTGAAGATCAAGATTAAGTCATACGAAGGAAGAGACACCAAGAATTAAAGAAAATATCATCATCATACGATCAAGATTAAGAGAAGGCATGCAAAATGGATATAGGATCGAAGCTCTTTAATTTGGATTTATGTGTTCTTTTTGACGTATCTTGTACTTGTTTACACTGAAAGAGATTTGATGGTCGTCCCCACCCGTGGAGTAGGTCACATTGACCGAACCACGTAAATTCTTGTTTGTTGTTATATTTTTTTCCCCTTAGTAAGTCGATATATGAACGTTAGATTAATCTACTAAATCTTGATAAAGAATATTAACACTTAATAATTTATAATTTAATCTATACTATATATTAAAAGGCGTTATTAATGAAGGATACACGTCACCCCTCTCTTCCATCAAGAAGATGTCACGTCACCAAGGAGAATTGGTACATGTCAATTTAAAAATGTTTATGTCAAGAATTGAACTCGGGTTTACCTTTCACCCCTAGTTAACAAACACTGGAAACTTCATTAACTAAATAATTTGTGGTTTGGACAGTCCTTCCAAACGTATGGATGCTGAAATTATGAAGGTTTACTACAGAATACATAAGAATATGAAAACTTACTTATCTCAGCTTATCTGATTTTATTGCATCTCAGTAAGATACACCATACAACTGAGTACAGTGCCCGTATAAATAAGTACCTGAAATAGGCTTCAAGTATTTGCAGCACAATGATACAGAAGTTTAATGGCACTACTCAGTACAATAACAACTTAAATTCATGTCCTATTAACAGGTTCAAACCAGAAATCTCAGCTACAATGAACTGCCCTTTACCATCTGGAGTTAAACTAAGTCCGGATTTGTCACTTTTTCTCGCTCCAGCTCCTGTGTGTACTATGTAACCCTTGATCTTTGTGCCTTTTCTCAAACCCAATATGGTTATCTTGTTAATGATCCATTTTTGACTCACTGCAAATTCTCCATTGACAACATTTGAGCTGATGATATTAGTCTGTTTTGCTGATGCAGCAATGAATTTAACAAAGGTCCATTTGCCTCCCTTCACTCCCATGGTCAACTCAACTCCATCATCCAAGAACAACTCCCCAGAGCTGGTCCCATGATCGCTCATGACCACTAATAGATGGAATGGCGTCCTGCGTGCTGCTTGGGTTGTCATTGCTTTCCCTTGCATTGCCAAAATATTACCTGCAGCAATCAGAAGGGATAAGATTAAGTTTTCCCCTTTATAGGGAATAGCAAAACCAAAATAATAAGAAATGTCACATTACAAAGTTATAAACTATATCCTGTCTCATGGGCTTCAGTACACATTTACACTTGAAGTATCTATATATAAGATGATCGACAATTTAATATGGTTATAGACAGCACACAATATAGGCTAGATAAAATTTATCGAGTCATTGGCCTACTTTAACACTTAAGATGCATGTCAGTGTCAGATTCTCATAGCAGAGTCCATATGAGCTGTGCCTAAATTTTCAGGTTTTAGCCATTGTTGGACTACAGTGGGAAAAATAAATGAAGTAATAATTATTACCTTCTCGAATGTGAACGTTGATATGGTCAGGGGGTGCACTAAGGGTAATAAACCTTCCAGTAGAAACAGTCACTGACCGAGTATAATTGAACAGATCAAACCAGTTTCCTTGAGGAAAGTAAGCATTGACAGATACCACACCAGGTCCCAGGACTGGAGAAACCAAAACACCCCTACCAAGAAGGAACTGTGAGCTGATACCATAAGTTTTGATATCCTCGGGAAAAGAAAAGAAAAGAGGACGTGCTATAGGGATTCCTTTCAGCTGTGCCTTGTACATCAAAGTGTAGAAGTAAGGAAGAAGCATGTAGCGGAGTCCCAAGACTTTCCTAGCTGAAGCAGCGACTGATTTCCATCTGTAGAGCTCTTGATAGGTAGTACCAAGTGTTGAATGATCTCTTGAGAATGGATAAAAGGCCCCCAGCTGTATTCAAACACATTCAATTAAGTAATAAGTAATGAATTTCTATTGAAGATTATTGATGCAAACTTTAGAATCTCACAACAAGTATTATCAAAGAGGATTTGATGCAACATCTGGTTTCAAAAAAGGGTGAATTTTTGGTAAGCAGAATTTTAAAAAGGTAACAAAATCACCCTTTTGGATACTTACCAAGGAGGGATTTTACTGCCCACTCCTAGTGACAAATAAGGCATTTGACAATTGCTGCCTTCTTTGAGCCATAAAACAAACAAACAAACAAACAAACAAACAAACTTCTTCTCAACTAAACAGCTAATCACCCCTTTCTTCTCTATGTCTAAATAAACTAACTAGTGTGCCTAAAATAACATTTTGGAGAATATCCTATACAATGATAATATTTGACATGTTCTTAAATTTACCTGTATCCAGCGTCGACAAAGCTCTTCAGTTGTGTTCCCAAGGAAACCACATATATCAGCTCCAACCATTGGAATTCCAAAAAGTCCAAAATTTAACATAGACGGGATTGAATATACAAGATCATTCCAAGTTGCAGCATTATCTCCTGTCCAATGTGCAGTGTACTTCCCAGAGCCAATAAATGTTGACCTAGAGAGTACAAATGGTCTTTTCTTGGTGAGTTTAACAAGGGCAGCATGAGTGGCTTTAGCTTCAAGGTATCCAAATAAGTTATGAACGTTGTATTCGTATATATCACCATAGTGCAAGGCAGTGGGTGGGATAGTCTTGTTTATAATGGGTAGCCTCTCTCCAGAATTATTGATTTTATATGGAGGATCATCAAGAGTAGATCCAGGGGCAGGTGGAGAGGAAATAAAATTTGATATTTCATTCATGTCAATCCAAAGACCATCAACAGGCAGAAGATTTAAAAATCTATTTATTTCATTTGTCCAAAAGGTCAAAGCAGAAGGCTTTAGAAAATCAGGGAAGTATACTGGGCCAGGCCAGACAGAGCCAAGGTATGGTTTGCCACCACGCTTCAGGAAGACATCAAGTTGCATGCCCCTAATGTATGTTTCATGCGTCTCATTGGTACTGATACCTGGGATGAATTGAAAAAAATGTGCTAAGAGAAAAGGTATCTATAGAACAATACACAAGATTATCCAGAATTACAACAACTTACCAGGATCCAAAATCAGCACATATCTTTGTCCATTCTTGTGAAGATTGTTAACAAATTGCTTCATCTTGTTAAGAGGAAAATTAACAGGATCAAAAGTGAAATCCTTGTATGCATCCATGTAATCAATATCTGTCCACATTACTTCCAAGGGAATCCTAGCCTTTGCATATCCAGCTACCACAGACTGAAGTTCATATACATCATGATAGCCATAACGGCATTGCTGAAAACCTTAAAAGTACACATGCTGTTTATCAGTGCATGAAAACTAGCAACTATCATAAACTTATACCTAATTAAGACAGATAACAAACATTGACAAGGAGGTCTAATATTTCCCAGAACATCAATCTGGCATCATAAAAGAAAGATGGGTTCTTTAATGTAGGAACACAGACATCACCATATCAGAGATTAGATTTACTCAAAGATGCTGAAATAACATGTATCAGTTCACAGATTTGAATAATATTTAGGGATCAGGACAATCTGATAGACATTAACACTTTGTTTGGATAGAAGGAAATGAAAGAAGGAAAAGAAAGGAAGAGAAAAGGAGGGGGACAAACTCTCTTGTTTGGGTAAAGGATTGGGGGAAGGAAAGGAAAGGAGAGGGAGGGATCCATTTTCCCTCTCTCTTTAATAAGCATAATCTCTCCAAAATTGGAGAGATTTGGAGGGAAAATGGAGCTCACCTCCCCCCTCCCTTTCTTCTCTCTTACCTTCCTCTTCTATCCCTCCCCTTCCTTTCCTTCCTTGTTTTCTATCCAAACAAAGCGTAAGTCACAGTGTGTATATACAAGGTCATTTGTTAAACCAGCGAATTATTACACCAAAATTTGTACATGACAGCAACTCCGCTATCAACAAAACTACCCCTAACTTTTCTGTTAACTTCTACTTCCAGTCTTCTCATTTTCCTACTCATGCTATTTCGTTAGCCAAGAAGCAGTATATTCAAGATGCATATGAAGTTAACTAGTTAAAGAGCAGGAGTAGATAGTTCCTGACTTTTATTAATGAAACTTAATGATTTCTAAGATAGATTGAAGAAAAATGTGTATCTGCACATACTAAGCATGAGACAGAAATCAGCAATGCCTTCTACCCAATATTCAAATCAAGTTAGTGAACTTAGAACACACCATCCAGATTATTACCGATAAACCACCACATCCATAATTCATCAAAGGAATGACGAGCACCACAAAATAATCAAATTGGTAACTTGTGCAACATTTTGCTACTCAGTAAGCAAGTAATCTCCACACTTCCCAACTCCTTATAGGCTTTAAGCCCATTTTGTCAGCATAAAGACTGTTCCTACCAAATGTAATGGAAAAATTCTCCTATGGTCATCTTTTCATTAACAATGAAAGTCTAGTAGTGTGGAAATTTACCATAAAGATATGTGCGTCCACGTATTTTTCAACCACTAGAATTTCATAGCCATCGTTATCGATATACTCCATAATAAACACTCTTTAGCTCTATTTCACATGGCAAACATACATAATATATACACATTCCACAACTCAAGCTTTATTAAGGTAACAACTGCCAACATTACAAGCTATAATTTGACAGCAACAAAACAGAACACCCATATAGTAATTAGTAGCAAATTTACATGAACAACACAATCAAACTACCAAATTGGAGAAAAAAGAAAGAGAGAAAGTGAGATATTACCAAAAGCCCAATAAGGCATTGGGGCAGGGCGTCCAACAAGCTGAGTTAATTGTTCCACCACTTGCGCCGGCGAAGGCCCGGCAAAGAAGTAAAGGTCAATAATACCCCCAATAACCTTGAAAGTAATCCTATCACCTTTATACTCAACATCCATCCCATTACTATTCAACAGCAAAACACCATGAGTGGACCCTACCACCGGCGAAGACCGAACATCCATATAAAACGGGTGAGACCCGTAAAGATTAACATCCGGGTTACTACTAGGAATATCAGCATTCCACATGGTAAAGGTTTGATTATGGGCCAGTTGAAAAGTGGGCTTGGAGTGTTCCCCAAGCCCATAGAGATGGGCCTGGTGGGCCGGGAGGGAGGATGAGAGGTGGAGGTACTGGTCTTTGAAGATGAGGAAGGTGGAGGGGTTGGTGGGGTCAGGGGTGGTGTCGAAGATGACGTCATGGGTGGATTTACGGGTGATGGCGAAGCCGAAGGGGGTGGTGGTGAGGAGAGAGAAAGTAAGGTCGGAGTTTGGGTGGGAGAGGTGGAGGTTGTGGCGGAGGGTGGTGTGGGGTGAGTGGAGAGTGCGGCGGAGAGAGGAGAGAGAGAGTGGTGGCGCCGGCGGTTGACTGCGGTAGAGGATTTCGTCTGGGATTTCCCATCGGTGGTGTTTGGCGTCGGTGATTCGGAGGCGTAGACGGTCGTTGGTTTCTAAGCTGCGAATTGAAGGTAAATTGGGAATTGGAGGGAGTTAGTGAACTGACCTAACTGTCAAATAAAGGATTGATAATTTAATTATATTTTTTTTTTTTTTTTTTGGTGAAATGATAATTGATTAAATCAATCCCAACAAATAGACTTTATACAACTATACAAGTACTTGTACTCCGTAACAAATTGCAAATGGAGAAAATAGAACATGTGACCTTGGCTATTGTAGATAATATTTATTTATTTAATTATTTCACATTAAGTCCTCTTGATACGGAGTAAAATTTTATTTTGATAGTTCAACATGTATGGACCGTTAGAAACATGAATGGAGTATAAGGATCTTAAAATTATTTAAATCCGTGTTTTCATATTCAATAATTATTTCCATTATCTAACACACATAAATAAATTTAGTTGAGAATGAGGGATAGCTCAAGTGGTTAGAGCTCTCCTTTCGATTCCAGGTAACTTGGAATTGATTCTCATCACTCACCCTTGTGGCTCTCTAAATACCAAATAAAATAAATTTAGTTAGACTCATAACTTATAACTACATGGCTACACAGGTTGATACGTATACAAATTTTATGCTCTTGAATGCACAGCGGCACAGTATATTTGTGTTATAGTACTAAGTAAATATACTTCGTATGTAATTTTATTTCTTATTAGTCAACTTAATTTTTTTGTTGTAAAAAAAAAAAACTTTTATAAGGAATTATTAAATTTTAAAGCAATCATTACCACATGTCACTCTAAAATGTATTGTGGAATGTGCACAATACAATAGAGTAAACCATATGAACAAGAAACCAAGGTAGCTTAATCATACAATAAATGACCAACAAAAGAATTCACAGTAGGAGTAAAGAACCTGGCAGTGAGAGAAAGGAGCTGAATGTCAGGTCCATAAACCGAGGAATTCTTCACAAGCTCAAGTATAGCAGTCAACGTCCGATGGTTGCCGGAGTCAACTTTCGCCCACTTCACCATATATCCATACCCGATTACATCTTTTTTATCGCTTTTTGATTTCGAACCCGAACCCGTAACCAAACATAGTTGTAACAGTAGTAGTACTAGTACTTTTCCAAGTGCCAAATGTGTTAATTTCTTCTTCATTTTCTACGTTTTGTGCATAACTTATTGTCTAATTACTTGTTCCTTCAGATTGTAAATGTAGTGGTTAGGAGTGTATATAACAGAAATAAATTTAATAAACATCAAAATTGATAGATGACATATTGTATTTTTATTGTGGACGTAACTAGCTAGCTAGATTGTAGCAAATAAATAAATAAATAAATAATGGTCCCACCAAATCACCAATCCTCTTCCTTCTCCAGAAGATTTTTTATTAGTCCTTTTCCATGATATTATGTGGTTATTCATACAAATATGGTGGAAATGAAAATTGGTTTGTTGTTTATGTAAGGCTTCAATTAACATAATTTGTGTTTTAAATAGGTAATTGATGAGTTACTTCACTTACTAACTAGTAAAAGAAATGACATAAAAGAAACAAGAAAAAATAGTGGAAAAAAGACCAATTTTACTCAAGGATAGCCAAAATGGTACTCCTATATCCTTTGTAATGATGTCTTACAATGATCAATATTTGATCTTATTTACTTCCATATGGATGCCATAAACAAAATCGAAAGCTTGTAAATTGAAATTCATGCAAGTACTAAATTAATACATAGAAGAGATGATCATACCAAATTAATTTTGCAGTAAGCAAATGCCACATTAAACCTCCAGATGATTTTTCGGAGAATTAACAAGAAAACAGTACGTAACTAGGAATTAACAATATAGACTTAAGATCGAAACCATATAATACTACTTACGTATTTATTGGTGTGTATGGAGAGCTATATATGGTATCCGATCAGATCTCTTTTAAGGTGGAAGGCACTAATTAATTAAATTGCTTACAATATGTGAAAGGCATGACAAAAAAGAGGAAATATAGTGAAAATCTTAGGCTACTCTTGGACTTACTATACATTCCAGCAGCTGGATTTAACGTGGAAATGTTGAATTAAATAAAATATAGACATTTTGTTCCGAAGTTAGATACGTGAAGAAGTATGTTCTTCATTCTGCTTAACTTGGTATTATGTTGATAGATTGTACGTTAGGTTAGCATTTTCCTGCGTTACCCACTGGATAATGTTAATTGTTTTAGAGATTATTGAAAACGGGTATAGATCGTCTAAGATGACTGAAGAGATTAGATCAATCTCAAAACCGATTCACAATGAGAAAAATATTAGCAACTTATAATCTTACATGTACACAATAGTCACAATTACACATCATAAGGTTAGGTTTGTTACTTGTATAAAGGCAAGTTTTGTAGTTTGTGATTCATTTTACAGATTTTAATTTGCTTGTTCCTTGCCAGTTAGAACAGGCCCACAGCCCATTGGATAAATAGGAAAGATTCTGAAAGAAAGCCCAGCCCTTTATGTTATTACAGTAGCCCAGTTGCTTCACTTGTTGATTAGGAGTTTAGGACTTAAGCACAACATGCCTATTGCCTACAGCGCCTTAGAGCAAGATACAGCAAAATACTCCTTACAAAGTATATACGGAGTATAATTAAATGGCTTATAAATCCAAAGGAAAAAAAATACGAAGTATATCATAATTGTTAAGTACTCCATAGTCCACCCCATTGTATGGAGTACTGCGGCGTATAAGCTAATTGACAGCTACATAGCTACCCAACTAGTTTACATACTCCGTAATGCACAATCATCGATCTTATCATTGTGTAAAAATAAGGAATGGAGAGAGTACAATATAGTCCATACCATATGCATAGACTACGAGTCTAGAGTTTTTGTCGTGACTCGAACAAAAATACTCAATACACTTACATATATATTCCATAAGTAGCATTGTACAAAAAAGGAATCCCCGTGCATGGGGCAATTGTTAAGAAAATAATGCAAATTTTCTATTTAATCAAATTTGAGGGAGAAATAAATTACATAAACAAAATGTCTATTTATACCAAAGTGCAAAAAACACAACCCCTCTTTTCTCTGAGTTATTTTTCTTCTCTCAGATTTTCTCTTGAAATTATTACATACAAATGAAGGAAATGCTCAATTTATAGTTTTCCTAAAACAACCTAAGCCATTTAAAATTTAGCCTGCAATATTTATTACCATTAGTTATTTTTCCCTATATTTGGAAACACCTTTAATTTTCAATGGTAATGCATGGTTATTTAATAACCATTTATTTTTTTTCTTTATGTTTCTTAATTATCTGCCAACAATCTCCCACTTGAAGACTGATTTCAATATGTCTTCACACCAAGGAGTAGAACCTCAACTAGTCTTCTGTCATTTTAAGACCAATTGATGTTGAGCACAATTTCAACTTGTCAATCGTCACTGTTTTCGTTAACATGTCTGCTGGATTCTTACTGCCAAGAATCTTTTTAAGAGTTAACACTTCATCTTCTAGAAGAGACCTGATAAAGTGATAACGAATACCGATGTGCTTTGTTCTTGAGTGAAACGCCGAATTCTTTGCTAAATGTATAGCACTCTGACTATCGCTATACAAAATATTATTCACTTGTTTGAACCCCAGCTCATCTAACAAACCTTGAAGCCATATCATTTCTTTACTAGCTTCGGTCACTGCCACATACTCAGCTTCTGTAGTGGATAAAGCAACAATCTTTTGTAGTTGGGACATCCAACTTACGGCTGTATTTCCAACTGTAAATACATAACCCGTTGTGCTCTTTCTATTATTGACTTCACCGCCAAAGTCTGCATCAACGTAACCTTGTATTTTCAATTCACCTTTACCAAAGTACAAACACTTATTAATTGTACCTCGTAAATACCTCAAAATCCATTTAACAGCTTCCCAATGGACTTTTCCTGGATTGGACATAAACCTGCTTACAACTCCCACTGCATGTCCAATATCTGGTCTTGTACAAACCATTGCATACATCAAACTTCCAATAGCCGAGGCATAAGGAACCTTGGCCATATATTCTTTATCTTCATCTGTCTGAGGGGACTGATCCTTTGATAGACGAAAATGACTCGCCAACGGTGTACTAACAGGTTTAGCATCACCCATATTAAATCTCTGAAGAACACGTTTGATGTACTCTGATTGTGATAACTGCAAAGTGCCTCTCTGCTTATCTCTTGTGATTTGCATTCCTAAAATCTTCTTTGCTGGACCCAAGTCCTTCATGTCAAATTCCTTTGACAATTGATGCTTCAACTTTATAATATCATTCATATCAGAACCTGCTATTAACATATCATCAACATAAAGTAATAGGATGATATAACTGGATTGATATCTCTTGAAGTAGCAACAGTGGTCAGCTTTGCACTTCTGGAAATCTTCCTTGTGCATGAAGTTATCAAACTTTTTGTACCATGTCTTGGGGCTTGTTTTAGCCCGTATAAACTTTTCTTAAGTTTGCATACCATCTGCTCTTTCCCACTTTTTATAAAACCTTCTAGCTGGTGCATGTATATTTCTTCATCAAGATCTCCATGAAGAAATGCAGTCTTCACATCTAACTGCTCGAGATAAAGATCTTCAATTGCAACAATACTCAACACTGTTCTAATGGTATTGAGTTTCACAACAGGAGCGAATATCTCATTATAATCAACTCCCTCTTTCTGTTGAAAACCTTTGACAACTAGTCGAGCCTTATACCTCTTGGAATCATCATGCTCCTTTTTTGCTCGATATATCCATTTGTTATGAAGGGCCTTCTTACCTATGGGTAACTCAGTTAGTTCCCATGTCTGGTTTGAAATCAGGGATTGCATTTCATCTTTCATTGCAAGCCCCCACTTGCTAGCATCTCTGGTCTGGGATGCTTCATAATAATCTTCTGGTTCCCCATCATCAGTTAATAACAAATAATTCATATATTTTCTATTAGGCACATGTGGTCGAGTACTCCTTCTTAGTGTAGGAGTTGGACAAGAAGGTTGTTGTATGTCATTTGATTGCGATGTACTGCCCTGTACAGTCTGTTCTTCTTGTTGCGGAGTACTTATGATAGTGTACTCTTGCATCGTACTGTCTGGGACATAATCTTCATCAATGAATGTAGATTCTTTTTTATTTGTTTCATAACTCTCAATTTTATGCCTATCTTTGTACATGACTCTCTCATTGAAAATTACATCTCTTGAACGAATAATCTTTTTGCTTTCATCATCCCAAATGCGGTATCCAAACTCATCTTCGCCATAACCAATAAAAGTGCAAACTTTTGATTTAGGATCAAGCTTATTTCTGCCTTGATCACTAATGTGCACATAAGCTACACAACCAAATACCTTTAAGTGCGACAATTTGATCTCTTTGCCGCTCCATACCTCCTCTGGTAATTTGTACTCCAATGGGGTTGATGGTCCTCGATTGATCAAGTAAGCTGCTGTATTGACTGCTTCTGCCCAGAATTGTTTTGGTAGACCTGACTGTATACGAATGCTTATGGCTCTTTCTGTCAATGTTCGGTTCATCCGCTCAGCTATGCCATTATGCTGAGGCTTACCTGGCACAATTCTTTCCATCTTAATACCATGCTCGTAGCAAAACTTCTTGAATTTGGTGTCCTCATATTCTCCGCCATTGTCGGACCTGAATCTTTTGATCTTCAGACCTGTTTCATTTTCAACCCTAGCTTTCCATATCCTGAAAATTTCAAACACTTCGGACTTGTATTTTAGAAAGTAAACCCATACTTTCCTAGAGTGATCATCAATAAAAGTCACAAAGTACTGTTTTCCACCTATAGATTGGGTGGTTGTTGGTCCCCACACATCAGAATGAACAAGCTCCAATTTTTCTTTCATTGGAGTTCTTCCATATGTCTGAAAGCTTACCCTCTTCTGTTTTCCAAGTATGCATTCTTCACACATGTCTATATTCACAGATTTTAGACTAGGGAGTTTTCCAATTGAATGCATGATCTTCATTCCTTTCTCACTCATGTGACCAAGTCTTTGGTGCCATAACTTGGAATTTTCATTCTCTGTTGCAACTGCAATCGAATAACACGCTCCAGCTGTCAAATAGAGAGTACCATTCTTTTTACCATGAGCAACTATCATTGCTCCCTTTGAAATCTTCCAATTATCACCTTGAAAGATTATAGTGTAACCTTCACGAGCCAACTGCCCAACTGAGATCAATTTCTTTCTTAGGTCGGGAACATGTTTGACATCCTTCAGCTCCCAAGCTGACCCATTTAACTTAATTTTGACATTACCTTGACCAACAATATCACAAGGTTGGTCATCACCAAGGTATACCTGTCCAAGGTTTCTATGGACATACTTCTCAAAAAAGTTTTTATTAGAAGTAGCATGGAACGATGCTCCAGAGTCTAATACCCAAGACTCTTCTTTTCTCTCCAATGAGCATATCAACGCATCATCACCTTCTCCGGTAGAAGTGACATTTGCCTCTGCCTTCACTTCTTTGCCTTTTGGTGTTCCCTTGCACTGATTTTTATAGTGCCCAATCTTTCCACAATTCCAACACTCCACAGTCTTTGAGTTTTGGAAATTATTTGGATTCCTGGATTTTGACCTCCTATCTCTGGATTGTCCTCGATAGTTTGATCTTTCGCGTTCATTCCTTTTGATTAAATTTCTTCCTCTTGACTCTGTATGTAATACTGAAGAGGATGAAGATTCACCTGATTCTCTTCGTCGAATCTCCTCACTAAGAACCAGATCACGAACGTCATCAAACTTCAACTTGTTATTTCCCGATGAGCTACTCACAGCTGTGACTGTAGCATTCCAACTATCTGGCAGGGAAGATAAAAGTATTAACGCTAATACTTCATCATCAAATTTGATTTCAACAGAACTCAATTGGGTTGTGACAGAATTGAGTTCATTAAGGTGTTGAGCTACCGATCCACCTTCCGACATCCTCAAACTAAACAACCGCCTCATCAAATGAACTTTATTGGAGGCTGATGGCTTCTCATACATATTAGAGAGAGCTTTCATGAGACCTGCCGTTGTGGTTTCCTTTGCAATGTTAAACGCCACATTGCGTGATAACGTCAATCGAATAACTCCGAGTGCTTGTCTATCTAAAAGCTTCCATTCTGCTTCTTGCATGCCATCTGGCTTTTTCTCTTCCAGAGGTTGATAGAGTTTTTTCTGGTATAAATAATCTTCAATCTGCATTTTCCAAAATCCAAAATCTTTACCATCGAATTTTTCAAGTTTAACTTCTCCTTTGTCTGCAGCCATTTCTCCCACTCAAATTTGACTTTTTTTTTTTAGGATCGTTTTTATTTTTATCGTAATGTGGACTAATTGTCAACCAAGCTCTTGATACCAATTGTTAAGAAAATAATGCAAATTTTCTATTTAATCAAATTTGAGGGAGAAATAAATTACATAAACAAAATGTCTATTTATACCGAAGTGCAAAAAACACAATCCCTCTTTTCTCTGAGTTATTTTTCATCTCTCATATTTTCTCTTGAAATTATTACATACAAATGAAGGAAATGCTCAATTTATAGTTTTCCTAAAACAACCTAAGCCATTTAAAATTTAGCCTGCAATATTTATTACCATTAGTTATTTTTCCCTATATTTGGAAACACCTTTAATTTTCAATGGTAATACATGGTTATTTAATAACCATTTATTTTTTTCTTTATGTTTCTTAATTATCTGCCAACAACAATATCACCATCTTCGATATTCTTTTCAATGCAAAGGTCAATTTGCATAATGTTCCAAGAATAGTACTACGTAAAAGCCTCTTTCCACTTCCCATAAGTGCATATAATATGCCCTTGCCCTTTATCTAGAACCATAAATATGTGAACTACATACTGTCATTCATTACTAGATTCATACTATCTATCTTTCTAGTTCGATCTAATTATTATATCCAGATGATTTTACATTTTGATGGACTCGATCATGGTCAGAAATTTTTTGCAGATGAGAATATATATCATGTCTAAAAGTGTAGTTGATCGATATTGATCAATTTTAATTAATTTTAAGCTATAGGAGATAGGAATATTTGATAGTGATTTCAATTAAACTTATTTATTGCTGTAACCAAATTGGGATAGGAAAATGGATTGAACAAGGTATTACGCAACCATGTAACTTAGATTCCAATTGGAGTAAAATTTGGTTTGGTAATTAATTAATCATTTCATATAATGTGTGCTCGTGAGCCTTCAATTTATGACATGGGAAATTTGTTCATTTAATCTTTTGATAAGCTAGCATGAATAGAAACATTGCATAGGTTATTAGTATAAACCAACCCAATGCTAGATTATTATGCGCATATTTTGTGTGAATAGATGTGTGAAATTTATATATAATGTGTAGTACATACCTTTATGTCATTAAAAACTCATGAATTGAGTATGATCTAGACGAGTCAAATTGAATTTTTAAGATCGAGTATACAAAGCTAATAAGTAACAATAAAAATCGTCATAGGTAGCATTTATATATTTAATTAAAATGACAGTTGCTCTGATCCATATATATTACGTACTTTGAATAACGTCGTGAACTTATTTATACTGTAGACTATATATATATTATATATAGACATGTAATATGAGAGGAACAACCTTTATACTAAAAAATGCAGTAATACTTAACGGATTATTTTACAATATCTAATTGAACCAAAAAAAAAAAAAAAAAAATTATATGACTAATGCATGATAAAGATTAAATAAAAAAAATTAGATTAGATTTAATCCAGTTGGTGGTAGATGACATAAGACACGGCAGCACGACCAAGTCACTAACTAGTTTGCCTCATAAATCATAATGAATGTAAATCGTACCATAACCTATGACAATCATTTATTCATATAGTGTCAATATAATCTGATTTCATATATTAGTAATTCACAATAATGTTCTTAATATAATACAACTAGTATAATAACCTATGTCATATTGTTGTTATTTATGTTCATTTATGTTCAGTTGTCTGTATAATAATAATAGAACCTAAAGAATTTAAGTGAACAACAATGCAAATGGCAAAAATTAATTCATAGTATATATTTTGGAAGCATTGGTCTTTAATTTATTTTGTTGGGTCTTGCACAGCTGCATTGACACAATAAACTTCACAACTATGAATTATATGAGACTAATCTATACTAATTACTCCGTATATTGATTGGTTCTTAATTGCGTTATATGTTCATTTTACAAGTTGTGAAAGAGTTGCATAGTTTACGTGATACAATCATCATATTTAATGAAAAAATTCACAGTGATCTATGAAAGAAAACATTTGTTGTTGTAATTTACGACAAACTTAGAGTGTGTACTAGTACATCAAATTAGATTATATCAATAATGACAGGTTAAATTGTAACAAGATTACATGATGGTGCTATTGCGGAAATGATGAATCATCTTAAATAAAAAAAATAATTATAGTTGTTATGTGGGTTTAGAGATATAAAAAGGGAAAAAAGGTTAGGCACTTGAAATTTAACTCATCATTTAATCCTCTTTTTAAACTCTGTCGGATGCAAACAAATTACTTATACGAAAAATTTACAATCACAAAACATGAAAGGAAACTAAAGGCTAACAACCTGAATCCCCATATAAAACAAGATTACAAGAACATTAATTAAAAAAAGAAGTTAAAACCTACCACTATTAGATGTTTTGTAATTTTAAAATTACTTTTTACGTCATCTTATAAACCTAAAAAATAAGAAGCCTTGATAAAAGATTATAAGATAGACACTTTCATCTTAAAAAAATACCCGACTATTTCCTTTAGTTACTTTTCCGGTCTTCCCCACATGTCACTCACTCTTTAGAGACTATTACTAATTAACCAATTATAGCATATAACTAAGAAAAGAAACCTTAAGGCCTAATCATCCCATTATCCCAAATGTTGTTATGTGAGTTCTGTCCCATATTACTCGGCGGCTGATGCGCCCCAGCCAATGTTGCTGGAGCAGGAGCATACATCTCTCTAATCCCAACACCATGCCCCGACCCATTAACCTCCATTCGGACCCCCATTTTCACATTCGGGTCACATCCCGGATTATACCCAACATTATTCTCATTGTAGTATGAGTAATAATTATTAGTAGTATTAGTACTACCGGTACAATTTCCTCCCTTATTTACCTCATCCATACCCGATAAAAGATCCGAATACGTCATCGAATTCATTGGCATCGTCAGAATGTCATGATCGTTGTAATTGTAAGAAACTTCATTCATTTCACCACTACTAAAGCTATCATCACCAGCAACATGCTCGATCTCTATCACCTCATTACCAACCAGCCCAGGCCCGTATCCCGATTCGAGCACGGTATTGGTGGGAGACTCTTCTAACCCGGGTGGTGGGGTCGGTTCAGACCTGGCTGCGATCCTGACCCGGGGCCTAGCGGTGTTATGGATGGATGGACACGGATGATGATGGCGGTTAGTGTATGTAACGATGTAGAAATTCGGGTCTATGGGGCTCCGCTCTACTTGCTTTCTTGCACTACATCCTTTGACGCTGCTACACCTGTAATAGTTCCTGCAGGATAATAACAACCCCATTAAGTTACTCTGTAAAATAATTTCACTTTATTTTATTCAAATTTAGTTGTCACATTATTAATGATTCGCAAAATTAAAATCAGACAAAAAGTAACTTTAATTTTACCTAGGATAAGGAGAACCTTTGATGGGCTTCTGTCCGTACTTACGCCATTCCCATTTATCGCTACTTGACAACTCCTCCATAGTTAGCCTCACCATCCTTCTATCCTCAAATTTCCTGCAAAAAAAATAAAGTAAAGTGTTAAATCATTTATTTATTTTTTTTCTTGCCAAAAAAAAAAAAAGAAAGAAAAGAGTTAAATGGTGTTACTTTTTTTTATAGTTACATGGACGACCACCACAAACAACAGTAGAAGTACTCTGATTCGGAATGATATGAAATCTCCTTGGATTAAGATGTTGTCGCGATGTTTGCTCAACGAACAGATTACTTGACATCTGACCAGCTCCAGCCTCGGGTTCAGCCTTGACACTACTTACAACAGGAGGTTGAGGGACCAAAAAAGGCCTGCACAATTTTTTTAGTTCGTCCTCTAAAGCGCTGACTTCATCCGCAACAGGAGCAGCAACGACTGCTCCTGCTGCTGATGGTAACAAAAAACCTCTCGAGTTATTCATCAACACATATTGGTCATAATAAAAAATTGACTTTTGAGAATCATTATGATCCAACTCAATATAATCGAGTGCTGGAGTGGTGGTGGTGGTGGTTATCGTTGTCATTAGATTATTATCATCCGCCGCAACTTGCGCTGCTCTAAGTTTAGCTTTTCTAGAACTTTCCTTTACAACGGCTAATAGAGACCAACTATCATTGATCTCTCCTTCTCCCATCACAACCATAGAAAACTTCAAAATTAAAATGTTTTTAGCCAAAAAAAAAAGATTGACACCTTTTTTTTTTTAAGGGTGACAATCCAAAAATAATTTTATTTTTTTAAAAGGCGCTGACTTTTGAGAAGAAAAAAAATATATTTAGAAGAAGGTTTGGTGGGGGACTAAGGGATGATGAAAGCAGAAAGACTAGAAGGAGACTAGGTAGGATATGACAAAGGTAGTGAAAAATGTACAAATATTTATAGTGAAGAAAAAAATGTAAGATTTAAGGAATAGCCTCTGTTTGGAGAGGGAAACCAGTGGTTTTGTAACAAAATATACTGCTTTTTCGGGTTGCTTTTTCTCTAATTTTGTCTATTTCTTTGCCTACTCACGCATTTCTTGTACTAACGCTTGCACTGTTGCTCCCACATTTATTTTGCTCTATGCATGTACTTCATAATACAATGAGATCATCGGAGGCTCGAGTGAGGATTTAAGGGAGGGAGAGTAGTGTTGTTAGAAGAGAGCGAGCCCTCTTGGAATGAATTAGCAAATAAAATTAATGACTGAATAATTTCTCCATTAAAGATTAAAAAGTACTTATGATACTTAAATTGATTGTCAGTACGTGTTGAAATAAGGAGTATATTTTTATGTATTAACCTGTAATTTTAAATACTAGTATTTAGCACTTTGGCCAGTAGTTCAGCTGTAATAATAAGAATGGGGATCTATATCTTAATTTCTTATAATAATTTTCACATTTTAAAGATATATAATTATATATCTATGGTAATAATAATTTGTACGTGAATACCACCCAATATAATAATATATGTGACAAGTTATATGATATACATCGTACAGTAGTACTTCTTTTACAAAAAATAACATCGTAAAATAGTATATATGTAAATCTTTGTGTTATTCTTATTGTTTTTTTAAAAAAAAATAAAAAAAAATAATAATAATTCTTATTGTATAACCTACATATGTATGAATATATCATTATGAGTTACAGAGAGTATGTAGAGTAAATTGGCTAGAAAGAGACAGGGGTAAAGATAAAGTTTTGATCCTTAACTTTTGTTAGACAAGATATTCTTAGGCAACGCGCACCCCGTGCGCTCGGTGTATTGAGCATGTAGGAGAATGGACCATTGTTTTGACAAGCTCCCCTTCCACGGCCTTAGCTTGTTTGAATTGCTTTAACCCTACATGGACATATCCCTCATGTAATTAGATCATTTATATGGATGTAACTATAGTAAAAGTATATAAGATTATATTTGAGTTATATGGTGTACGTGTGATGAGGTGATTGTTGTGGTAATCCACACAATTACCTTTTGATCTACATATATTATAACTCAAATGTTTCTATAATTTTTATTTTCGATGGTAGGTGTTATTTATTGTTTTATAATTAATTAGGCTACCAGCATTAAGATTTAAAATTGGCAACGATTTATCAAAAACCTAAGATCGATATATAATAAGTGTACAGTACAAATGTACGGAACAACGAACAAAATTATTGCATGGATTCTTACCAAATGGTTCTTGTTCGCCCTAATTTAGAATTGAAGTTTAGTCAAAAAGGAATTAGTTATTATTATCAAGATATGTAACGTAAAAAAAATTAGAAAACGTTATGTTGGCGTTCCTTGTTCCCTTCCATGCAACTTTTGACAAAAGATTTTGATGAAAACAAAAATCGTCATAACTGAATAAGCTAAGTGACACGTAGATTACTTTTCATGCGATGGTAAAAAAGACCGAGTAATGACAAATCATAAGCTAGCTAGATTCGAGTAAAGACAATGATTAAAGGTCGAAAATTCATTAGTTGCAATACTTATTATATATATTTGTGTTTACTTGCACTACTAGAAAACGGGTTTTTAGTATCAGAAATTTTAGTATCAGTGATTATTATTGATACTAAAAATGTCAATAGTATCAGTAATTTTTTTTTTTCTAACACTACTTCTATGGTTTGGACGATGGCTAGTATTAGACTTAATTATAGTGTCGAAAAAATATTGATCTAATACAAATGATAACATAGTATCAGAAATGTTCCAACAATATAGGATTTTTATTATCAAAATTAATTTGATACAATAAAATAGTTATAGTAACAAAAAGTTCCGACACTAATAAGCTTTTTACCATCAAAATTAATTTTGATACAATTAGATACTTATAGTAACAAAAATTTCCGATAATAAATCACATTATGAATATCTCAGAAAAAATTGGCGCTTTCACAAAAAAGAAATTTAAAATATGGCGCTGGCGCCACATTAAAATATTAGAGAAATTTGAAACCATTTTCATTTCTAAAATTTCACCTGGGTAATGTAACCAAAACCAAACCCAAAAGAAAAGTCCTTCCTTTTCTCATTTCATCAGTAAAAACAACAAAGAACCCTCTTATTATCTCTCCTCATTCTATTTCACGAAGTTAGGGTTCTAAAAAAATCTGCTCAAATTTACAAAAATTATCACTCATCTACTCAAATTTACAAAAAAAAATCACACATTATGCTCGAAGTTGTTGCTCATTTATAAAATAATACAAAATTGAACCTCCTATTGTTCTCTAATGGTTGCGCATCAAGTGGGATCTGCTGGGTTTTGCCATTGAAATTCTCTAGCGGTGATTATTTTGTAAGTTCATAGTACTAATCTTTGAATTTCATTTATTTTGAGCTTAATTTGTCAAAAAATGTTGATTTAAATGTAAAAAAAATTAAGGATTTTGTCTGAACTTGTTTGGTCATAAATTAGTGAGTATTTAAATGGTCAAAATTAATTTGGTATCAAAATTTCAAAGGATATTGTCAAAATTGTTAAGAATCTAGTTGGTCTGAAATGATATAGTAAAAAAATTCGAAAGATTGTGCGATGGTGTTTGTTTGTGCGATGGGTTATGCTCTATTAGGCATAAAAGCAACTTTTGATGCAGGTTTCAGGAAGTTGGAGGTCTCTTCTGATTGCCTCCATTTGATTGAATTGCTGAATGATTTTAAGCATGAGAATTCTCCTACTCAATTGGTTGTAACAAATATTCTGAATTTTGCTCGTTGTTTTGATTTTGTTTGCTTCTCTTTTTGTCCTAGATTATGTAACAAAGTGGCACACTCCACATGCAATCTAATCAAGGTATGTTTTACCATTTTTACTCCATTATTCAAAACAAATATATATATATATATATATATATATATATATAATGATGTTACTACTCTCTTTTTCCGCTCTCTTGCTACTATTTTGATTACACTGTTGTTGTTTCAAATGTAATTGAGTGTGTTATTTCAAGTTGTTAAATAGCTTGAATTGTCAATGTATTGAGGTTTTTGGGTCATATTTGGTTGTCACATTGATGTAGTTTTGTGGGTTGATTTGAGGTAGTTTTGTGGTGCTACTTATGAGCTATTTGTCGTGCGACTTATGTTTACTCTCTTTTGCTGCTCTCTTACATGTATTGCTTCTTAGCTTCTTTTTTTTTTTTTTTTTTTTTTTTTTTTTTTTGTGTGTGTGTGTGTGTATTTACAGCTAAAACCCAGTGATGAATTAGAATATCCAAGCTTGAAGATTGTTGATGCAGGTGCATAGATCTTTTTTGGAAATCAAGTAGTTGCATTGTACTTTTGTTGAGAAAACTTTATGCTATTATTGTACTTCTTATATCTTAAATGGTGGTGGTGATGATGTAAAAACACTTTGTTTATATTAGTATGCATGCACCAGCTTTTTGTACTAAAACACTATTATGATAACTTATGGATAAATAGTAAAAATATTCCTTTTGTTCAAGTATTTGTATTGTGTATTAAATTTTAAATAATCATATATATTAGCTTAACAGGGCTGTGAGTTAATAGTGATGCTAAAGAATTTGATACTAAAGTATCAATTTTTTATGATAATAATGCATTTTTTCACTACAAATTTCTCTCTTTAGTATCGGAAAATTCTGTTACTAAAGCAATTGTCAAAAATAGGAAAGTATTATGGTAACAATAATTTCGGACACTATAGGGTTGTTTAGTATCAGAAACCAAGTCGATACTAATGATCCAACACTTTTGTATCGGTTATTTCCGACACCATAGTATATGTAAAGTAACAGAAGAACATTGATACCATTGGATATAATAATTGTATCGGATTTTCTGTTACTAATTAACTGATACTATTGCTATTTCTGATACTATAGGCAACCTTTTTTAGTATCAGATTATAGAACTGATAACAACATATTAGCCACGGAGGTACTAGTATCAGTTTAGTATTGCAATATATATCCGATACTAATGATTTTTGGTATCGGAAAGTCACTCTTTAGTATCAATTAATTTCTGATACCAAAGACCCATTTTTAGCAGTGTTGGCAACCAATCAGCTCATAAACCTAAAATCTAATATGTGTACAAATGTATATATAGAACAAACAACTTATTGCATGGTCAGATTATTCTTGCCAAATTGTGGTTATTTGCCCTAATTTAGAATTATTGCGGGGGTTTAGTCGTTGAAAAGAGTATAGTTTTCCTTAACAAGATACGCCTGTAACGTAAAAATATTAGTCAAAAAGATCGTTTTACAACCCTTGTTTGATTTGTTTCCCTTCAATTTTTGACAAAAGATCAGACATGATATTAATTAGTATTACTTGTATATTAATTATTGATGAAAATTTTAGGTTGAAGTTGATCGATGAACAAACCTTCGAAATAGTGCATGGACCGAGGCAAATAAATAGGGACTGAGAGAGTGATTTTGAAATGCTTTCTACTTGACTTTTACAGTAATTTTCTTATTTCTTAATACGTGTAAAATTTTGACTTTTATGTTTGTCAAAATTCAACTTTGACTATTAATATCTTTACATGTATATTATGAAAAAAAAAATTGAAAAAAATTGATATCATGAGACTATACATTGAGCATAACAATTGATGAAATATTGACTCACATACTAGTAATACAATGTGTTAATAAATTGAATGTATAAAAAGACAAAGTGTTACGTATATAAAGAAACAGGAAAACACATGTTCCATCTGACAGTACATTGTACTATGTAACATAGAAAATTAGAAATACATAAAATATTCAATAAATAATTTTATTTTTTTTAAAAAAAACGTCCGCAAAAATGGAAGGAAGGTAAAGATCATCCTGAAAACCAGTAAGGCAATAAGTAGAGCCGTTAATCAGCAATGAAGTTATGGCATGAAATGGTTTTGCATGAAGGGCACATAGCGTGAAGCTAAGCAAGATGCCAAATTATAACATTATTTATAACAAACAATCTTTAATTTTAAAATTCTATATAAATGGTTGATCAAA